CCCCCCCCCTTTTTATTAAGGATTCTGCTCTGTGGTGAGCATTTCATGTCTAGGTGTACTTAATATATCTAAAATCTGTACTGTATGCCATGATGAAATCATTAAATACAATATTCTCAGGGACAATAATGCCCACTATTGAGATGAGGTATTCCACAAGATTGCTAGTAGGTTTTCCCTCATAATATATCTGCTTGATTAATATGCCTGTTCCAGACCATACTAACTCATGGACTTATATGGGTAAAACAGAATGGGAGAGCTGCCAATCCTTTGCACTGTCTTAGGTGTTGGTGTTCCTTTGGACTCTCCACCACATTTTATCCACCCTTGTTCCTCAGTATGGAGTCATTGTCACCTTCCACTTGGATTGTAAACCGTGGAGGCATCCTCCTGAATGTGATCACACAACACTAAAAAAATACATTCAGTGGAGAGTAGGGTGGTGGTGTTCTTCTGGTGTAGATGGCATGTGGTTCTCCAATTGTGTGCTCCATCTGTGTATAGTGGACTCAGAGAGTTGATGTTGTGCCCAGCTTCTGTGCAGTTCTATCCGGAGGGTGTAGTTGCATATAATTGATTGAGGTGATCTACATTTATGCACTGGGACCCGGAAGTTTGTGATGAGCTCCAATTCTGTACTGTCCTGTCTGAGGGGATGATTTTGCACATGTCTACTAATAATTATGCCCCACCTCTGTGCAGTGGGTCCCAGAGGTTGATGTTGCACCCAGCTTGTATGTTGTTCTATACAGAGGGTGAGGTGGTTACATTTTTCTTCAAAGACCATTCACTTCCATTCCGTAGGACCTGGAGAGTGGCATGGCACTCTGACTTCTGTGCATTCCTATCCGGAGAATAATGTTAGATAAGGCAATGCTTCTCTCTCTTGCGCTCCACCTAAAGAAGTTTAGCAGCCCAAGGATGATATTACGCAGTGGGGTGCCAGTCTGATTGAATTGGAGTTTGATGTGACCTGCCACATGGGCACATCTCTTACTGCCAACATTTGGATGTAGGGTTCCTGGATGTATGGTCCGTTGCAGATTTGCACATGTGCCCATTTCATAGCTCAGTTTGCACAGTATATGCTTTTGTTCTACTGAACTTGAGATGAAGAAAGTGTGGATCCTCCTCCTGTCATGGTTTGGAAGTTCTGTTCTTGATACTGTTTGTTTTTGGACTGGAGTTGACTGGCCATGTACAGTTCGTCGTGCCTTAGCCAATCTACACCTTGGAGCACATTCAATTTAGTTTCCCCTATATCACTGTCTGTAGATGTTTCTTCTATGGTCTTTCTTCAATGGGATTGAGATTATGAAATATTGTGGTTCGGATTCCCATCCAACTGGTTTTTTTCTCCCTTTTGCTTGTGCTCCTCCCTTTTTCTGCCTGTGCATGCGACACCTCTTTCTACACTAGGTGCATAGTATATCTGGTACAGAAGTGGTGCAACCTCTCATGTATGATCCTCTGCAATGGGAATCACAATTCTGGGGTGTTTTTTGGATGCTTATTTCTATCCCTTGCATCAGTCCCTCCACTTATTCAATGTGGGATTCTAGCTATATATATATGAGAAGAGGTAACATACTGTATTGAAAGTTATAATTTTCATATACTGAATGTGTAGTTTCAATAGGTACTTACCTCATCTCACACTTCCACTCTTCCTCTCCACCAAAAACGGTGCTTCTTTTTCTGCTTAAACTTAAAGTGATAGTTCAGTAGAATCAAATAGAGGAGTCACATGCGTCAGGAGGGTGTCACACTCCTATTAGTGTAGGGTTGTCACATGATGATTTACATGCAAGATGCAGTTGAGACATGATGATTGTCGGGTTTGTGGAACTGCAAGGCTTGTAGCATGTGAAAAAATATAAATATAAAAGTATAGAGGGCAGCACTGAACGAGAATAGTTATATATGCAAGCAGAGTTAAGTAGGTCTTGGAAATACATTTTTAGGAAGAAAAGTTTTAACTTTTTGTTTTTCATATAACCTTACCTCTGTCATACACATTTGTTATACTGAAGGTTGTATATATATGTGTGTGTGTGTGTATACAAAAAAAGTATATTTTTGAAAATTGTCCAAAACTTCATAAATATGAGATCACTACACACACACACCTAATTTTTTAACTAGCTGTTTACACTGCTTATTATTTTCTTCAGGAATCAGAAAAACCAAAAATTCTTGACATTATGAACCAGTTTATTGATATTTTGAAAAATTTTTCATCCACTGAAAATGGTAAGACTTATTTTCTTTGTAAATGTATAAATTACTATATATTTTAAAAGATTAAGTATTAACAGTTACACTTTGAAAATTAAAGCACGAAACTATTGAACAATAGTTTGAGAGTTTATTTAACTTTAAAAGCTTATTATAAGAATAAAAAAGCATATTTTCAAAATTTTACTTTTGTTTATTATGTACTTCTAAAAACTTCAAACATTTAATATCTGTAAGCACATTTATAATCATTAAATTATAATGCATCTCAGTAAAACTACTAAAAGATTGTTTTGTTTTCATGACTTTTTTGATTTAGAATTTTAACTGTATTGTTTAAAAATTGGGACATTTTTCTTTTGTATGTTTTCTTTTTTTACAAAAGAAATAAATCATTACGACAGTTTCTGATTTCTTTGAAAGATATTATTGTATACATGTCAAAATATGGTCGTGTGAGTATTTAATAGTTGCTAAAAGAACTGAGTTTACTTTCTCCCCAACAGATCAAAACATAGACCTTGAGCTGAAGGACTCAGTTTTAGCACTGTACTTCTCCGTGCTGACTAGTGAAGTTGAAAAACTACAAGTTGTTGGATTACAAGGACTTTCTAGTGCTATTTTAGTACCAAAGATAATGGAAGCTAAACATTGTGAGCTTCTAGCTGACCATCTTATCCATCTCTGTCTGTCAGAAAAATGTAAAACAGTTAGGTATTTATGATATTATTTTTTTCAGTTGTAATTCCTAAACTTTTATTTTAGACAGCTAAACTGTTTATAATTCTTTCTGTAAGTCTGGTCACTGATTAATCAAAATATTTATTAAATACTTGTTATTACAACTAGATGATTAGTAGTATTTACTAATAGATTAAGTAATGAACTAAATTCTGGATTATTTATATTAAATGCTTAATACATACCCTCATGAACCCCCTCCCCCCAAACAAAAACAGAAAAAAAAAAAAAAACTTTTTTTTTTAGTAAAAGAAAAACATATTTTACCACATTTAGTTATAGGGTAATCTGGACATTTCCTATTTGGTGACTGACATGCTTATGTTAACTAAATACCACCATGTATCCAGCATTGTGTTTGTTTTTACAATGTGCAGTTATCTTCCCACTGATTTACTGTAAATCAAGTTACTTGATAATTAAATAATGAAAACATGTCTTATTGTCATGGGTAAGGTAATAATGTTACATTTAAAGCATGCAATTGTACCTGATGATGAGAAAACCTTCTCCAAAAATTGCACATTTGTTACTATGTTAAACTAGTAATAAGGTTTTCTTTGTTAACCATTCAGTTCCTCTCTAAGCTGCATAAGCATACCTTATGTGGTGTTTTCTCATTAAAGAAAATTTCTGTATCTTTCAAACAAATATAATTTAATGCACAAACACTTTCACTATTCATAAATGAATGGAAAATTTACAGGAAATATAAAAGAAACCCATAAACTGTATATTAATGTACTTTTATGTGATAGTTTAATTCTTCTATGCAATCATATTTAAACTTTCTTTATAGCTGTTTAAGTTGCTTGATGTAGTACCATAACAAGATGTCAACCAAAGTCTCTATAAAACAGTAAAAGAAATGCTAGAAAAATCAAGAAATGGGATGGGCAGAAAAACTAAAAGAATCAACATGTTGGTTATTTTGTTTACATGCAAAACTCTTTGCAGCTGTGCAGAAATGAAAATATGATCTTTTTTTCTTCATCAGTTATACTAAATAAATGTCAGAAAAGACAAAATCTTAATTCTAAAATATTTCTGAGTTAAAATTGTTGAAATATAGTTAGAATTAACATATACAAATTTTATACTCATTTTATATATGAAAATCCAGAGGACACTAAGTCTTCACAATAATTTAGAATCAAATTACTTTTTTAATCTTAACTTTGTGTTGTTTAAAATTTAGAAACAATAAAATATTTACTTACTTTAATATCAGTCACCTGTTGCCAAAATATTGTGTACAATTTTCCAGACTTACTATTCCAGACATGTTCATATGCATTTTTATGACAATGTTGGGGGCTTTAACTTTAGTATTGTATGTATAATTAAGCATTTTATTTATTAGGGAAACAAGTACTTAGCCAAATTAAAAGCCTAGTATTTTTGAATATTTTTAAAGTAGCCTAAATTTAAAGTGAAACAAGTTAAAAATTAGAATAACATCAATTTATTTTGTAAAATAAAACTTTTGATAGCTATAGGTATAACTGTATCTTAAAAAGCTTAAAAACCATTAAGGAATAAATCAGAATAAAACTAGAAAGTTTATTCTGATAATACAGTAGTATTGTGCTAAAAATAACTATGTTTAACTTTTCCACACTAGTTGCAGCAATATTTCATTTTTACAGTGAGGTTATGATACTGGCTAACTTTCTAAAAGTTAGCTGTGTAAAACTAAAGAAACTTTCACTATTTTTGACATGAAGAGACTTCCACTGTACTAACATAGTATTTTGTATTAATCATATATTCATAAAGTAATATAAATAAGTCAAAGTTGAAATAACGTTAATATATTCTGTAAATTATTAGCTCAGTCAAGCTATAATCCAGCAATTTCAAAGCTTATATCTTTATATATAGTAATGTGAATGATATGAAAATATAAACAGTTTAAAAAAGTGTTCCAAATTTTTTAAAATTAAAATTATAGTATTATAATTATTCATAGTCATACTTGGAAAACAATATTATAGCATTCGTAAACCAGATGCCTGTTTTCAATTTTTTTTAAAGGGATTACTTATACAGTCATACCACTTACATTTTCACTCATTTTAGACATCAACAATAGGAAAAACATCTTTCTCATGAGAATTCTAACTTATAAACAATGAAAAAGTTTATTCTGTAATAAGTTTGTTATAAAAGCTGCAGGTGTCCTAAACAATAATAACTTTGATGAAACAAATCTGCAAAGTCTAAACATATTGTTAGATTATCTGTAAGAAAGGCAAGATGTAAAAGTTTATAATGGCAATATGTAACTGACATTCATATTATTGTATTAGCTTAGAAATAATCAATTATTGGCTGAGGCCTTAAATGGATTGATGTAGACTCAGCTGTGCTGAGTTCAGAAAACTTCAAAAAACTTTTAAAATAAATAAAAGCCCAATCAAATAAAAACATTAACATCTAATATTTTATTTTGATACTGTATGGTAGTTTAAGGACATCTAGCTGTTTTTATTAATTTGTGAAAACTATGGAGGGGGTGAATCCCCCTAAATCTTCACCTACTTATGCAACAAGTAAAAACACTAATGATACAGTTATTAGTTTCTGAAAAATTGTAGGGGTGTACCCCCTGGATTTAACTATATTTGTATCTGCTTATACAACATTAAAGAATACAGTTATTAATTTTTGAAAAGAGGTGGGGGGGGGGGTCCCAAACTGCTTAGACTCCCCTCACCTAGAACTGTATCTTCCTGTACAATATTAAAGAATACAGTTATTAATTTCTGGAAAAAAAAAATTCATGTGGAGCTCAGACCATTTGCACCATTAAATAATACATTTACACATTTATAAGTTAGAAACTTGACACAGTGTAAAAAAAATTTAATTTAACACTTAAGTAGCCAGAAAGTTAGCAGTAGGTGCTGCCAGCCAGTTGTCTTGCTTCTACTCAGCAGTTCAAAACTAGTGACAGTGGCAGGTAGCCTTAATATCTTTACAATAATAAAGACAGGGTGAACAGATTTAGTGGCAGTGGAAATTGATGCAAGACCCTCAAAGTCACAATTACTTAAAAAACAGTAATAATTAGAAACACTAATTTAGATTGATTTATTTGTGTGAGAATCGCTTTAGCTGTGATTTTGAGAAAGCAATGTAATTGCTGCTCAAAGGTAATTAATCGTATCAATTAATTGATTAAATTTCCCAGCTCTACTTGCTAATAGGAGGAAAAAAGATCTACAGAGCAGCCAGTTAAATCTTTTCTGTGTGTTTATGTACCACAATGAACTTGGATACATTGACAAAAACATCAATGTCAATAGTGTGTCAAGTAAAAGTCACTGAAATTTGATTTTAAAGAACAAACCAACATTAGCATGACAAGTTGTAGCAATGTTTATATCTTGTAAATTATTTTTTCTTTATATGTTGACATAGAATATATGAGTGTGATAATGTATGTGTATAGTTAATTTTTATAAAACTTATTTTGAATAGACAGAGTTTTAATGTATAAGGTATGTATTCCTTCATATATTTCCAATTATATTATTAAAATAACATGTTCTAAAGAACTTTATAGATCTCATTTCATACCTATCAACTCTTTCAGTGTTTCACCTCTCTTTCTGAATTATACTTTTTACCTGATAAAATCAAATTTTTGTCAGTCATTTCCCATATGGTTGCTAACATTGGTTTTAAAAACTTTGTCAAAGTTTTAAAAAAAAAACATTATTTGTTTCCATATAATTTATGTATTTAAATCCAGAATGGGACAAATTAAACAATGCCTGTAACCATGTCATTAACAGTTGCAGAAGCTCATATTAAAAAAATAAACATTCAAAGTCATCATCATGAGTTTGCACATAATACAATGTGTTGCAAAAATTTGGCATCCTTGTGATTGTTAGCAAGTCAGGGTTTGTAATTATCTGTTGTTTACTAACTACCTAAATGTACCAGTTGACAATGGAAAAGGATTAATCTCCATGGACTGCTAAACATAGGTTCAAAACACTGCTGAAGTAAAGAATAGAATATGAGAATGTATTTCCTTGCATAATAGGTCTGTCTCAACCAAAACGAAAACTTTGTTTTATAAACATATCATACTAGAGCATGAATGTCAAAGAAAAAAAACATTTTCATTAATTGTTGAAATATAATTGTAATGATCATGTGTCAAAATTATTTCATAATTCATTCTTGTGGGTATATGTTTTTTACACACTAAAATTTAATAACTTGAATATAAATCTGAATTTCACAATTAAAATGCACTATAATACATAAAGTGCACTTAAACACTTTAATGTAATTTGAAAAACACTGATGGAAGAATGGGGATGCTTTCTAACCCTCTTGAAAGGGCTTTGCTCCTCACTGAAGTTCTGTTGCATTTATTGATTGAGGTTTTTCTATTTAGAAAGTTAGCAGGTATTCTCAGTTATCATAGGTTGGGCAAAAGGAATATTTTCTTTTATTTAATGTATTCATAATTGAAGAAATTCCACCATTTAAAATGCCTTACATTTAAAGTATTTGGGATCTAAGGAATCAATAAAGTGTAGGTCTTGTAAGTATATATTATATATATCTTTGTTAATGACTGACTAATTTTTTTCTTTAAATATAAAAATGTTTTGTTATTTTTTCTTCAATATTATGCTGTAGCATTATTTTGGATGAAAAATATGCAAATAAAATAAACACCACATTCTTCCTGGAACTACACTGTTTGAAGGGAATGCACTCAGGATAGCATGTGTTTTTTATAGTATTTGTGATACACATACAACTATATTTATGAAATATTTGCAATTCTTTGACAGAAATGGTGATTTTTTTCTAATTCACTAATACATCTAGGTGTAGTGCAGAAATATTTATTCAGGAAAACAATTCATTTAACCAGCAATGAAGAACAGTTTTCTTCAAATTATTGTATTAAACTATCAAATCATTCATGTTTTTTACGACAGGTAAAATGATAACATTATTTTAAAACTGTTATATTAATGAAAAAATCTGGACAAAAGATTCGAATTGTGTTTATGATGATTGTGTCTATAAGTTGCAGTTTCAAGTTCACTGATATGGTTTTATGTTAATCAATTTGTGCTAAAATTGAATTTCAGGATAAATCTTCTTACAAACATTAAAAACTAGTTTCATAAGGGTGAAGTATAAAATTAAAAATGTTTACGAGTAAGATTTGTGTTATATTACATTGAGAACAAAGGAAAATGATGGACTGAATATTGTCAGGAAGATAGACAAAAATTAGTAGTTTTATGCAATGCTGAATTCATAGTCATTAGAAAAGTGTCATGGATTATGTGCTTTATATATTTTAGTTAGTATTCATTAATCTACATTCTTAAAGTTCATTGGTAAAATAAATACAATAAATATCTTATTTCTCTATTAACATTTAGACTATTGAAAAGAAAAAGGATAATATGATCTGTAGATGATTGATGTTTCTTCAAACAATCACCAATTCTGATTTTACAAAACAAATATCCTAATTTAAGTTGCATATTTTGAAATTATAGAAAAGAAATCACTGATATTTTGTTAATAACAGTATTATACCTTTTATTCCCTGCAAGATATATTTATTGGTTTTCTATTTCATTTTTATTCAATTATTAGTATGTTTAATCTAAGCAATTTCATTTTCAGGGAACATAGTGTCAACTTAATATCCAAGTTAACTTTTCACTACCCCCATGTTACCAAAGAAAAAATTATACCACATCTTATGAGCTATGTATCATCTGGTAAGATCACAACACATTTTTATAGCTTGCTTTTTGTGTGTGTGAAAGATTATATAATGTATCCCAGAAAATATCATTAAGTCTGTTTTTTTTTTAAATAAATGGTCTGAATTAGGAATATTTTCAATATATATTTTTTTTTCATTTTATCCCAACAGCTGAAAGTGTTATATTTATGTTACATATTTTTCTTAAACAAATATTGAAGCTGATACACATACATCTGTACTGATGTTCTTTGTAAAGCATTCATAAGTATCTATTAAGTTGTAACAGTTCTGTGTTAATTTTATCATTACAATTTTAATTTTCACTGAGCCGTAGCTTTCTACAGTGATGCATGAATTCTTTCTTTTCCTTCATTTATTCATTCAAACTTTTTCAATGTAGGGCCTTCTGGTGATTCAAGGAGGACAGATTTTGTGTTTGATAGCCTAGCTGCAGCAGCTAGTCATTCCAATACATTTTATATGATAGCTCCGCTATTAGTAAAATACATAAAGGAGAATAAAGTAGGTAAGGTATGCATTTGAAAGTACTTTTTTTTTGCCATCTCATATTTTTTTCTACTAAATCTACATTATTTGGTAATTGATGTGTGAAACATATGGAGCAAAGAAAAATAGAAAAACTACAAGAAAATGTACTAATAAATTAATAGTTACACACAGATAAAACATTGATTACAAGCATTATAACACTACAGAAACCTAAAATTTTCCACAAGAACAGCATGTCAGATTTTGAAAACCTAATAATATATATATATTCGGAACAAGTTAAACATATGTACAATTAAGTCTTCACAATATAGAGATTACAGTTATATCATAAACACTATTTAAGTATAGTTCTCTTATTGTCAAAAATCCACTCAGGCGTATTCAATTACTTTAGAATTTCAGTTGACAAGTCGAACTATCTTCTCTATATAACTATCGTACTAGTATTCTGTGTGTGATTCACTTACAGTTGTGGTGCAAGTTACTGTAATTCGTTTGGTCGTTCTTCTGAAGATCCTCTGTTCAGTTTTGTTAAAGTATACCCAGGCTGATTCAGTTACCTTAGAACCACGTTTTGATGGTATAAAATTATCCTTCTTATCTTTTTTTATATATTGTTAGTTTCACTATAACATATTAAATGTTAGGCCTATCACATCTATGGTACTTAACTTCACACAGTTATATTCTCTTTTGCTATTATCTGTCTATTGTTGTCTGTCTACTGCTTCCCACTTGTCTCACGCTATTTATATCTTTTTTTACATAGTCGTATCACCACTTTCTATATTCTCGACACCAATTAGTTATTAACAAAACCTTCTACAATCATCTGCTTTTAACTCTTATTATAACAAAACTTAAAAATACATTATTCACTCACAAATATAAATTAATCACTAATATTTAAACGAAACAGTCTTTTATATCATGACACAGTATCATTAACCATGATAGGGTTTTATAGTAACAGTGCAAACAGTTTAAATTGGTACTAAGTATACTAGTTTTAGTTCTTATTTGTTTGCTAATTAAATGTGGCACATACTGAGATTATAAATTTTCAGCTAAACAATCTGCTGCTCTGATCCTGATGTCTCATTCCCAAAAATTGTTGTAATTTATTAAATGTATAACTGAAATCATTATTGAATTGTAATATAATAATAGTGCTTGCATTATTGATTGTAATGTAGTAATAGTGTTTGCATTATTGATTGTAATGTAGTATTAGTGTATACCTGAAAGCATTCTTGCAAACTTACTCAGATCAGAGTTTTCATCATGGTAGAATGTAATTACCTCTATCTCAGCTTCAAGAAGTCACAGACTAATGACTTAAACATGTTATGAAAGCTATTTTTTGTTCCTTTAAACTTTATAAACCAATTTGGCTTCCAATTCACCAAAACCTCATATAGAGATGGTTCTAAAGTGACAAAAGCTTAGTTTCATGATATGTTACCAGAAGAAAAGATGTTTGGGAATAATTTCTGAAACAGTCCTGATTTTTTTAAAGGATTTCAAAAAGCTTTATTTATCATTGTATACTTCATTTGAATCATGATGTTCCAGTATGATGGGAAAATAAATGTTCTTCATAGAACAAGCTGAGGTAGACTTAGTCACATCATTTTGCACTTTACTGTATCAAGTCTTATTTCTTCAGTGAGGCTGCTTTGTTAGGCCTTGTTTACAATAAGCCTTTACAGTCTAAGTACTTGCTTGAATGGGCAAAGAAAATCATCAAAAAGAATTTAAAAAACATTTACATAAATAAATATAAAATAGTTTAAAACCATATATATTAAGTGAAACCTCCTGATTAACAACTTAAAAGAATAGTTACTTGAAATTTTGGTATGATAAAAAAGTTATTTTTATTGTATGCCAGTGTTATAAACGTGTTGAAACTGCATGCAATGTTTTATCAAATCAAAACTAATAAAATTTCAGTTTTATAAAATAAAATTTCAAGGAAAGTTTTAAAAGAAAGTAGAAAGACACAAAAATTGGTAATTAAAGTCTACAATAAATGTCATTATTTTGTTTTTTCAACAGAATTCATATGAATATCACATTTAAAAATAAGATATTTTATATGTAGAAGCAACATAGTCTGTAGAAATATCTGAAGTTTCAAATTATTTCATCCAGTAGTTCGTTTTTTGCAATGCATTAAAACAAACTATATAACAGGTGCATTGGATTGATGCACCTGGAACTGATGGAGTTAAGGGATAAACTTTAGTATGCTTTTATTCAGATATCATAAATGTTCTATATGAATGCTGTATTTAACAGCAATAATAGGGGTCATTGATTTCAAACTTTGCATTAGGAAAAGTGTATAGAGAAAGTATTGTTAAGTACATTAAGTTATAATAATAGATACTCCATGACTGGTACAATTTTACCTGTTCTATTCTGTTTTGTACATCAGCTGAAGGTCATCCCATTAGGGTATACATGTGTGATGAGTAGCTCTTGGAAATTGAATGTGGATTTATGGGGTTAATGATGAATGTGTTACTTTTTTAACACAGAGGGTTACCTACAAGGCAAAGCACATTCAATATTCTTTTTTTGAATAATTATTATTTTATTTGATACCAAATACACATGTTTTTATTTTATTTTAGGATGTTTATACATAATTTTATTGACACGAACATAAAATTGAAGAAAAATAAGGTCAAAAATAATTTTTCTATTGAAGATAGCTTTAAAGCATTGTTGTTCTTTTATGCGTACAAAATCAATCCTATGTCAATAAAATATGTCAATAGAGGTTGTTTTAATAGTTTTCAGATTTTTGCATGCTACTCCTACCAGCTATCTATGTATCTGGCTTGGGTTGATTTTACTTTGTTCTAAAAACCCAAAACTACAGATTGCTAATCTAAACACTGTTCAACCTTTTCAAATCAATCTAGATCCTGCAATCAGTGATCTCTGACCATTAGTTTCATCTCCATCAGAAAAGGCCCGGCATGGCCAGGTGGTTAGGGTGCTCGACTCGCAATCAGCGGGTCGCGGGTTCGAATCCCAGTCCCACCAAACGTGCTCGCCCTTTCAACCGTGGGGGCATTATA